ATATATATATATATATATATATATATATATATATGGTCAAGTTCAAATGTTAACCAAAGTTTTTGTGTTAACTTTGTTAACCGATCTTGGCCATCCAATTTTTCAATAAACGGTTGTGATTAATCATGATAAAAATTTATTTTTTAAAATTTTAAATTTCATAAAGATAAGTGAACAAAGTTGAAAAGGGTATTTAGGTAAAAAAAATTATGAACCATATGAACACAACTATAAAATATATGAACCATTGTGTCAAATACGAACAAAAATTTGACATATATATGTACTTGGACTGCATAATATTTATGAACACAATATGAACATAATAAGAATAACTGTTACACGAAAAAAAACAGGTATGAACACGATATGAACAGCTTGTGAACAATAGTTTCTTCATTATAAACACATTCAGAAGCGATCATTTGTCAATATGAGTTTTATACATGCATTGCATCCACACCGTTTAAGGTTCACCTCTTGTTCATATCGTGTTCACCTCTTGTTCATATCGTGTTCACCTTTGTTCATATCGTGTTCACCTTTGTTCATATCGTATAAAATATGTGAACACATAATCCCAACGCTATGAACATCGGGTGCAAACACTTACACAAATATAAAGATTTGGTATCAAGCTTAAGAAATAACACTTGTGTTCATATGATAGAAGTAACATGAACACAATGGTTCATGATTCATAAAAGTCGGTAATATGACAATACGAAAATGGGTCGTGCATGTACTTCCATTTGAACATGTGAATTAGGTACGTATTTTAATAGTTAAAGAAAAAAGCTATCAATACAAGATGAATTATAAAAAACACAACACATCGTAATGAACATAATTTCGATTAAAACAAATCGAAAAAAATAAAAAATATATTACCAAGACATTCGCTTTGGTTAATTTTTTCAATTCCCGGTCTTGAACTCTGATTGTCATCATAAACCATTTTAATCTTCTCACTGTTGTCGATTTATTTTCCATTGCTTATCCATATTAGCTTGATCGATACCGGAAATTTTTATTACCGTGTTTTCTATGCGAACTAAATACTGATAAAACAATGAACAATGAAGATCAATATTAAAGAAATTAAAAATATTAATATTATAAATGCATATTTTTTGGGATTTGATGATTTGTAACTCCCTATTAATTGTTTGGGAGTTACATATCAAATCAATTTACTGAAATACCCTTGTAATTAAAATGTGAATATGACATAAACCTACAAGAATATTGAAATTTGATTGGTTGTCATGGTTTTCAAAGTTAACACAAAATTGTTGGTTAACATTTGATCTTCCCCCATATATATATATATATATATATATATATATATATATATATATAGGTTCAAATGAAAACCATACAATTCTAAGAAACCGTGTAAACCAAATTCGACCAATAGGAAAATTCCATTCTTTTTTAATTAAAATTAATCAATAAGGATATTTTGGTCAATTTCTATATTTTTATGATAAATAAGGTAGTTATTAATAAATATTAAATAAGGAAATTTAATAATGGAAATTTCTTGAATGGTAACATATTAAAAWTTTTAATATATTATAATATTAAAAACTTGATTTGAATGGGGCATTCATAATGAAAATACTTCATAATGAAACTGTTTCATATGGGACGTTCATATGGGGCGAACTTCATTCCTAAAGTTCATGAAACTGTTTCATATGGGACAAATTTCATGAAACTGTTTCATAATGAAAAGGTTCATAATGATGAAGCATGTTCATAAATTAATACTGTAGACATATTGTCCAAATTAATACTTTAGGCTTATTATCCACTTTAATGAAAAAGTTTCATAAAACTGTTTCATAATGAAAAGGTTCATAATGATGAATCATGTTCATATGAGTGGAATAAGGAAAATAAACTATTGATGCAACGTTTTCATCAAACGTTTCAAAACAGTTAAAAAATCGAAATAATATAATCTCTCTATTTCCTAATGAAAATATTGTAATGAATAGTTTCATAAACAAATTTCAAAAAACAATGGTCATGAAACTGTTTCAATGTGAAAA